CCTCGAGGTTCTCGCACTCGGAGCGCACGGCGTCCACGCGCTGCTGCAGCACCTCGCGCTCCGTCTGCTGCTGCGAGTGCCGGCTTTCCTCGCTGACCCGCGCGTGCACCAGAGCCTCCTGCACCTGCGGGACCGGGGCGGGAGGCTGGCGCCGTGCGCGGCGGCGTGCAGGCGGGAGGGGAGGAGCGCCGCTCTCGGCCTCACCTCCTTGATCTCGTCCTGCAGCCGCTGCAGCTCCGAGTTCTGCTCGTTGATGAAGTTGAACTCGGCGAAGTTGCGCTCCTCCACTTGGGGGCGTCGGCCAAGGCAGGCAGAGCGACGGAGAAAGAACGCCAGCCGCAAAGGCGGAGAGACGGGCCACGGCGACAAGTGCGGGCAGACGGGGCAGACAGACTCGTCACGGGACAGAAGGACACAGGCGTCGGCCCGGAGGCGGGTGGGGGAGACGGGCGCGCGGGCTGCACCCGCGACGCCCCGGTCCGGCCTCCCGCCCCGCCCGGGCCCTACTCACTCTCCAGGTACTTCTGCACCAGCAGGTCGGGGTCGCTCTCCCCGGTGAGCTGGGACAGCTTACTCAGGGCGTCCTCGTAGCGCAGCACCAGCTTCTCCTGGGAGGTCTTGCGGAGGCCTTCGGCCTCCTCCCGGGCTGTGGAAGACGGAGCGGCTGGGTCGGCGTCCCGGACGGCGGCTGGCGGCGGGGCGCACGCGGGCCGCCGGGCGCGGGCTCACCGCGCTGCTCGCGCTTCTCCAGGATGGCGGGGTCCGGCTGCCGCTCGTCGTGCTTGAGCTTGAGGAAGCGGTGCAGCCGCTCCAGGTGCGCTATCTGCCGCCGCAGCGCCTGCGCCTCCGTCTCGTTCTGCGCCACCTCCTTGTCCGCGCGCTCCCGCAGCATGCCCATCTTGACCTTCGCCTCCTCCCTGGGGGAGGCCAGCCTGGGTCAGGGCCACTGCAGGCTGGGTAGCGGTCGGCCTGGGGTTGTAGGGGCGGGCGTGGGGTCGGCCAGAAGTCACAGGGGCGGGCAGAACGATCTAGGTTCTAGGAGAGGGATGGGGCCGGGGTCGGGGTCAGGGCAGAGGTGCAGGGCCCATGAGAGGGCGTGGCTGCGGGGCACCGTGGGGGCTTCTGGGAGCCAGGACACTGTTGTGATTGGTGAGAGGTGGTGAAGGCGACAGAGCAAGCGATGACCCCAAACTGGGGAAAGGTGGCCTGGTGATAAGGTGACCGCGGGCGATGAGGGCGGCATGGGCGGGCCGGGCACGTCGCCACCTGAGCAGGTTCCTCTGGGGGCACCGGGGGGCGCCCTGACTCGCAGCTCACCATGCATCCCTGCCCTGCACTGCTGAAAATGCAGTCTCTACTCCAGCCTAGCGCCACGGTCACCGTCGAGGCCGCAGGGCTGGGCAGCGAGGCAGCAGGCCAGGGTCCCCAGGGCCTCTGGCCGCCAGCCACGCCAGCTCTCGTCTCCACCCAGAGTTCCAGCTCCTCACCCTGCCAGGGCCACCTTAGCCCAATCGGGAGGCAGCTCCCCCACCCCCAACACAGGCCTCCGGAATCAGGACTCAGTTCCTCCAGGGCCTTAGGCTCCACGACACCAAGGCGCAGGGGAGACGAAACCCAGCTTCCCCGGGCGCCAGGGGAGGGCCGTGTGCGTTAGACGGCTGAATTTCCAGGGCAGCCCTAGGGACAGAGTCTCAGAGACCGGAAGCGACCGTCCCTAGTCACCTAGCAAAGTGCAGGGGACACAGGCTGCCCCCTCCTCCCCCACCAGCTGGAGCTGCCCAGCTGCGCCCTGCATGGCAGTTCACGGTGCAGAAGCGGGCAGAGTCGAGGGCCTGGCCGCGCACAGCCCGGCCAGCCGCAGTCCCTCCTGCAGAATCGGGACTGAGAATCGCTAAGCACGAGCCCGCAGGTGCTCCGTGGACTTGGAGAGAGAGAAGCCACATGAGAGGCTAGACCGGAGCCGTGGTGGTCCGAGGGTAGATGGGCCTCAGGAAAGAGGCCCACACGAAGGCCACAGCCAAGGACTGTGTGCCTGCCTCAGCGTGCAACGTCCAGAACACGCAAACCCCAGGGACAGGAAGGAGCCTGGGGACTGCCGGGCCTCAGGGAGGGGAGGGAGAGGAGGGAGGGCAGTGAGTGCCAGGGTTTCCTTTGGGGGGGGAGCACTTTGGACCTCAGTAGGAGTGAGGGCTGAGGCTCCGGTGCCAGGGACGGCCGAGGGAGAGCCAGTGCCGCTCCCTGGGAGGGAGAGACCCAGAAACCACGCGTGGGGAGCAGGAGGGGAACGGGGCTGAGGCAGGGAGGGGGCAGAGGCAGAGCCTGGAGCCCCTGAGAGCCACAGCCAGCCAGAGAAGCCCGCACTGAGGGTAGCTCCGTCCTGTACAGAGCGTCCCCGCCTGAAGTGGCCGGACAGTCTCCGTCCCTTTCCGCCAGCGCCTGCTGGGTGCCCTGCCTCTGCCTCATCTCCCTTGGCCCTGCACTAGCCATGGGGTAAGGAAGCCTTACTTACTGCAGACCGGGAGCCACAAGCCACGGGGGCCAATGAGGTTCATTTGCACACCCCAGGAATGGGACCTTGGCCTTCGGGCAGATGCACCTGAATCACCCAGGCCCCGCCCCACTGGGACGCCACGGAGGGGCCCTTACCTGATGGCGTAGGCAGAGGTGGAGGAGAGGATGAGGGTGCTGACCATGTGCTGCAGCAGGTGCATCTCCTGCCGGGGAGGAGGACCAAAGAGAAGCCGGCTCCTTAGCTCCCCAAGCCCGCGCTGCCCCACCCGCGAGGGCGACCCCTGAGCTTGGGAAGGGTGCAGTCAGGGGAGAGCCAGTGGAGGGGCTGGGAAACGCCTGCCCGGGAATGTTCCCCAGGATGGCGTCGCTGAACCGTGGCCCTGTGGCCACACTGCTTGCTCTCCTACGTCCACATTAGTGCCCAGGGGGCGGGGGCGGGGGGTGAAAAGCATTCTCGAGAATGAGCGAGAAAGAGAAGGATGGAGAAAGGTGGGGAATTTCGTACATGCACACACACACACTTCCAGGTAGGATTTCGAAAATGAACAGCAACATAAAGTTATCTTTTCATTCCATTTTTTTCCACACACACATGTACACATTTACTTTTGCAAACAGAAACCCAGAATGGATTATCAGAAAGTAAGGAAATGGGCTGGCACTGTGGTGTAGCGGGTGAAGCCACCATCTGCAGTGCCGGCATCCCATATGGGCACTGGTTCGAGTCCCGGCTGCTCCACCTCTGATCCAGCTCTCTGCTGTGGCCTGGGAAAGCAGTGGAAGATGGCCCAAGTGCTGGGGCCCCTGCACCCGCGCGGGAGACCTGGAAGATGCTGCTGGCTCCTGGCCTCAGATCAGCTCAGCTCTGGCCGTTGCAGCCATTTGAGGAGTGAACCAGCGGATGGAAGACCTCTCTCTCTGCCTCTGCCTCTCTCAGTCTGTAACTCTGCCTCTCCAGTAAATAAATAAATAAATAAATAAATAAATAAATAAATAAATAAATAAATGTAAAAAAGGAAGCGACAGGGCTGGGGGAAATGGAGGAGGCTCCAGGTCTGCGTAGGGACAGCTGTGATTCGGGAGCCTTGCTAACGTTCACAGAGGACAAAGGCAACTAAGTCAGCAGAGAGAGAAACTGAAAGCCAGTGCAGAGGGAAGCGGGGGCCAGTGAAGGGCAGAGCTGCAGCGGGGCCAGGGCAGCGGGGACGGCAGGGCTGGAGCAGCAGGGCCTGGGCAGCAGGGATGGCGGGGCCAGAGCAGCGGGGATGGCAGGGACAGGGCAGCGGGGCCAGGGCAGCAGGGACAGCTTGGACGGGGCAGCGGGGCTGGGGCAGTGAGGCGGTCACTCTGCTCCATCTGCAGACACCCCTCCCCTTGGGCACCAAGCATGACCCACATGAGCCTCGAGCCCTGAGCTCTTCCTTGCCCCAGGCTTGGGGGTGTGGGGCGGGCAGAGCTGCAACGATTCTGCACATGTTGGGTGACTGAGCCGGGGTCCCCACTGTGGGAAGGAGATAGCTGAAACTGGGAACGTTCTAGAAAAAAAAAATAGTGATGCTGGACTGGATCACAGGCACTGACATAAACTCTTTTTAAAATACACATGTTGCCAGCGCCACGGCTCACTAGGCTAATCCTCTGCCTAGCGACGCCGGCACCCCGGGTTCTAGTCCCTGTCGGGGCGCCGGAGTCTGTCCCGGTTGCCCCTCTTCCAGGCCAGCTCTCGGCTGTGGCCCGGGAGTGCAGTGGAGGATGGCCCAAGTGCTTAGGCCCTGCACCCATGCAGGAGACCAGGAGGAGGAACCTGGGTCCTGGCTTCAGATCAGCGCAGTGCGCCAGCCGCGGTCATTGGAGGGTGAACCAACGGCAAAAGAAAGACCTTTCTCTCTGTCTCTTTCTCTCACTGTCCACTCTGCCTGTCAAAAAAAAAAAAAATACACATGTGGGCCGGCACTGTAGTGTACCACGTTAAGCCACTACCTGCAGCGCCAGCATCCGGTTGAGTCTGGCTGCAGTACTTCTGATCCAGCTCTCTGCTACGGCCTAGGAAAGCAATGGAAGGTGGCCCAAGTGCTTGAGCCCCTGCCACCCACCTGGGAGACCTGGAGGAAGCGCCTGGCTCCTGGCTTCGTTCAGTCTGGCACAGTGCTGGCTTTGTGGCCATTTGGGAAATGAACCAGAGAATGGAAGAGCTCTCTCTCACTGTGGGTGTCTCTCCCCCTCTCTCTGTAACTCTGACTTTTGAAATAAATAAATAAATGTTTTAGGTCAATAAATAAAACGTGCATGTGGTTTCTCAGGGCTTTGAGAGAAGCCAAGAGCAATGAGGGCACCTGTGTCCTGGTTTCCCGACACCTGCTCCTCACTGGACAGAAACCAGGAGTCCCTGGGAACTGGGACAGCACAGGTCCCGCCTGCCTGGCCTGTCCTCCCGGTGCCCCAGAGGAAGGAAGGGCTCACAGGAGTGACAGGGACAGTCTGCACGTCAAGGTGAGTAGCCACACTCAGGGCTGCCTGTTACCCGAGACTGCAGTGGGAAGGGGGGTGGGGGAGGCTCCCGCCCACGCACACACCCCCGGGCGGACAAACAACAGGGTTAGGGAACCAGCTGCGCAGCAAGGCCCGTGCCCGAACACTGCAGGCCACGTATTCACCAGGCCACAGGGACGGGGATCAGAGCTGCCCGCCTCGGGCGCCCCCTCCCCCCGTGCCCGCACTGCTGAGGCTGCCACACAGAGCGGACAGGACCCACGGGGCGGGACGTCGTCCAGCCACGGCCGGCGCCCAGGAAGCCTACGAAACGTCAAGGTCAGGGGACAAAGCCGCAGGAAGCCGGCGGCTCCAGGTGCACCCATGTGCTGGGGCCCTGGCCTGGAGCGGCAAAGGGCAGCGCTGGGACCACCGAACAGAGGCCGCCTGGAACGCTCTCCCGCGTTCAGGTCCCACCTCTCAGAGCTGCGAGGCGTCCATGGGAAACCCGCACCGAACGCGTCAGCCCCGCCAGGCGCCGCCAAACAGCTCCACAGTCACAGTGATAGGCTTCCTCTGGCGAAAACACCATCACTCATACACACAGGGGGAGAGAGAGAGGAAGGGCGGGAGGATGGGCTGGCTCTTCAGTGGGCCCCAGAGGCCAGGCAGGTGCCTGGAGCCTGGCTCTGCTCTCTGCCAGTCTGCCCCTGCCCGCGCCGGGCGCCTCCCACACTTCCGCCCTTGCAGCCCCGGGCGCACAGCCGCAGGCAGGACCTGGGGAGGAGTCCGCTGACCTTCCTTAGCCTGTGGTCCACCTCCAGGTAGCGGTTCCTCTCGATGCGCAGCAGGTCCAGCTCCTCCCGCAGGGCCGCGTTCCGCACCAGCTGGATGTCAAAGTGGCAGGTGACCTGGGGGGGGGGGGCGGGGGGAGGCAGACGCGAGAGTGTGGCTGGCGCCTGGCCCAGCCGGGTCCCCAGCAGCCCGCTTCCCCGGGGCCCTCCCTCCGTGAAGCCGCCCCTCACCCTGTCCAGCTGGTCCTCCAGGATCTTGATCCGCCGCTGCATCCTCACCTTCTGCTCCAGGACGACCCCCGGGCCCATGACGTCCTTACTTTGGGTGAAGATCCGGGTCTCCCACTCCTGGATCTGGAAAGAAAGAGGCTGGTTCCTGTCTGTCACAGCCAGTGTGGGCGAGAGGGAGTGCCCGGCCGTGGCTGCCGTCTTCCATCCAGCTGGCCCAGCTGACAGTTCCCAGTGACCCTCTGTGTGGCTCTGGTGAGGCTAACATGCTGCCCTGACTGTGGCCAACCTCGGGGACTGGCCCGGAGATGGACACGAGCCCAGAGCTTGGCCAGCCTGCCTCCTTTCCCGGTGTTTGGGGGGAAACGCCTGAGATGGGAGGTTGAGGTCCCAGGACGCCTGCTGACGTAGCCCCTGCCACCACCACCAACAGAGAGGATCCTGGGAGAAGGAGGCTGGCAGGCGCAAGTAGGTAGTGAGGCAGGGCCGGACCCCAAGAGGTCACTGAGTTAAAGTGAGATCATGGGGTTGGCGCTGTGGTGCAGTGGGTAAAGCCACCACCCGGGACACCAGCACCCCATACAGGCGCTGGTTCGAGTCCCGGCTGCTCCACTTCTGATCCAGCTCCCTGCTAATACGCTAAGCAGTGGTAGATGGCCCATGTGCTTGGGCCCCTGCCCCCACCATGGGAGACCCCGATGGAGTTTCTGGTCTCTGTCTTCAACCTGGCCCAGTCCAGCCGTTGTGGCCACTTGGGGAGTGAACCAGCAGACGGAAGCTCGCTCTCTCTCTCTCCCCCTCTCCCTCTCTCCCTCTCTCTCTGTCATTCTGCCTCCCAAATAAATAGATAAATCCTTAAAATAATAATAACAAAATATAATGAGATCACTGGGCAGGGGCCTAATCAAATGTGACTGCTGTTTCATCACGAAGGTATTTGGGACACAGAGGTGCACACAGGGAGACGGCCATGTGGAGACCAAGGCAGCAATGGGGCCGACGCTTCTGCGTGGCAGGGGGCACCAGACACCAGGGGCGGAGCCTGGAGCAGACCTGCAGACTCCCTGGCCTTGCACTTCAGACCTCCAGACTGTGGGACAATGCCTTGCTGCTAGATGCCCCCACCCACCCCAGTTTGTGTTCCTTGTTAGAGACCTCAGTGAAATAGCATAAGGAGACTTCAGAGAGTCTGCAAGTGGAATTAAAAGGTGAGTTTATTTTGATGCCAAAAATAATTCAAATCCATGTATAGGTTTTTATTAAAGATGATTGATTGATTGATTGGAAAGGCAGCATTAGAGAGAGAGAGAGAGGAAGAAAAAGATTTTCCACCTGCTGGTTCACTCCCCAGATGGCCACAATGGCCAGAGTTGGACCCGTCGGAAGTCAGGAGCAGTTGTCTCCCAAGTGGGTCCAGGGGCCTAAACTCTTGGGCCATCCTTTGCAGCTTTTCCATTCAGAGAGCGGGATCGGAAGTGGAGCAGCTGGGACTCAAACCGGCGCCCATATGGGATGCCAGCACTGCAGGCCGCGGCTTTACCTGCTGCACCACAGCACCAGCCCCATGCATAGCTTTTTCGTAACACACATTTCCATGAACTCATGGAAGACACCAAAATACCTCCAGACATCACACCAAACACCACAGGGATATTTTTGATTTTTGAGGATACTGATTTTTACCACATAAACCGCTAGCTTAGAGGCCGGCACTGTGGCGCAGCGGGTTAAAGCCCAGGCCTGCAACGCCGGCGTCAGTTCAAGTCCCAGCTGCTCCACTTCTGTCCCAGCTCTCTGCTGTGGCCTGGGAAAGCAGTGGAAGATGGCCCAAGTCCTTGGGCCCCTGCACCCACGTGGGAGACCCAGAAGCTCCTGGCTCCTGGCTTTGGATTGGCTCAGCTCTGGCCATTGCGGCCATCTGGGGAGTGACCCAGCAGATGGAAGACCTCTCTCTCTCTCTCTCTCTGGTTCTACCTCTATCTGTAACTCTGTCTTTTAAATAAATAAAATAAATTAAAAAAAAAAAAAACCTCTAGCTTAAGGTGGTTCCCAATGTAGTGGTATCTACCATCAGATACCACTACATTCCTTTCTGTGGTGTCACGTCTGTGAAACTGGGTGTTCAGCAGTTGCTGTGATAAAAATCAAGTCCTCAGATGCCGGCACTGGAGCAGACCAGGTTAAACCACTGCAGGCCATGCTGTAGCCCACACCCGAGTGTCAGCTGGAGTCCCAGCTGCTCCGTTTCCAATCCGGCTTCCCGATAATGCACCTGGGAGAGCAGCAGATGATGGCTCAATTTCTTGGGCCCTGGATGGAGTTCCTGACTCCTGGCTTCAGCTTGGTCCAACCCGGGCTGTTATGGGCATTTGGGGGAGTGAAGCAGTGGGTGGAAGCTCTCTCTCTAAGGGAGCTCTTTGCATTATTGTTTAATAAAAAAAATTGTTTTATTCGAAAGGAAAAGTCACAGAGAGAGCAGAGACAGAGATCTTTCATTTCTCACTGCTGTATACTGTTGGATCACAAATACACCACATCGATGGACTCATTCAAATTCTGATGGGCGTCAGGGCTGGGATGAAGATGCACCTGCCAGCACTCTGACTCACGCTGGCCACGGGCCGGCCCCGGGCCGATGCTCAGAACCGGAACTTCTCGGTGGGAGGGGTACAGCAGATCTAAACTGTAGAAAGACCACTCTGACTTGCTGCCAGCACTGTTTCCATGGAAACACACTGGGCTGGGGTGAATTCAGAATGTCAGCTGCGTTTCCAGGCAACGTTTATCATGCAAACAACGTGATTGGGTACGGAGCACCTGCAGCCCGGCTGTGAGCGGCCCGAGGAGGGTGCGCTGACACTGTCTCCCTGCCTTCTCTCCCTCTGCAGAAAGAAGTGACCTGGTGCCAAGCTGTAGCCTGCCGGGCCCCACCAGTGTGCCAGGATGACCCCGAGAGCCCTTGATGGTGACCACGCAGACACGACGCAGCCCTGGTCAGAGGTGGTGGGTAGGTCTGTCTCCAGATTTAACAGAGTGGGGGCGGGGGTGGGTGAGGAGGCAAGGGCTTTTCAGAACACGTGTGACCACTTGCACCCCCCACCAGTGCTCCTTCACCTTGGTGCTTTTATTCACATGTTGTTTGTTTTTTCTTTTTATTTATTTATTTGAAAGACAGTTACAGAGACAGAGGGAGAGAGAGAGAAATCTTCCATCCACTTATTCATTCCTCAAATGGCTGCAATGGCCAGGCTGAGCCAGGCCGAAGCCAAGAGCCAGGAACTTCTTCCAGGTCTCCAACTGGGGTAGGGCCCAAGGACTCGGGCCGTCCTCCACTGCTCTTCCAGGCACAACAGCAGGGATGCCGGCGCTGCAGGTCACGGCTTAACCCGGTGTGCCACAGCGCCAGCCCCTGTTCTTTGCACTTTTATATAAACTTTGGAATCTGCTTGTCAATTACACTCACCAAAACTTTTTTTTTGCAATCACGTCAAATGCCTAAATTAGTTTGGGACAACTGACAATCTACAACTCTGGCTCTGCCGATCCGTGGATGTGGTACATTGCCACATTAGTTACCGTCTTTAAAATTCTCAGCAATACGTTATAATCGGAGGCCAGTGTGTGGTGCAGTGGGTTAAGCTGCCACCTTCCACACTGGCACATATATGGGCGCCAGCTGGAGTCCTGACTGCTCCACTTCCGATCCAGCTCCCTGTTAATGCACCTGGGAAAGCAGTGGAAGCTGACCCACGTGGTTGGGCCCCTGCACCCACGTGGGAGACGTGCATGGAGTTCCAGGCTCCAGGCTCCCGGCTTCAGCCTGGCCCAGCCCCAGTTGTCGCAGCCACTTGGAGGGAGCACCAGTGGATGGCAGCCCTCCCACTCTCTCTTTTTCTTCCTCTTTCTCTATAACTGTGCCTTTCAAATAGCTAAAATAAATCTTCAGCAGATACACAAAATGTTATAATGTAACTCCAAGGAGGCCTTGCACACTCTTTATTAGATTTCCTCCTAGGGCTTTCGGCTGGCTGTACGTTTGTCTTATTTTATTTTCTCAAAGTTCCTCTGCCAATACAGGAAGCATAAGAGACTTTGTATATGAATTTTGATGCTAGCACACTGTTAAAGTATCTTGCTAATTCTAATAAATTGGCATTAGTCTTCAGAACCTTCTTTGTACACAGTAGCTTCTATAAATAATCACAGTTTCACTCTTCCTCTCTAATCTTTTAATCTTCTTTTTCCTTTCCCTCACCATGCCCTACTAGGCAGGCCCTCCCACCACTATATGCTGATAGCAATGGTGCCAGCTGACACACTGTCACTCTTGCTAATCTCAAAGAGAACTTGTTTCATGTTTCAATATCAAATACGATGTTTGTTGTAGATGTTTTCTGGTTGCCCTCTTTTTTAAATTTTATTTATTTGAAAGAGAGAGAGACAGAGAAAGAGAGCGAGCGAGCTCCCATCTGCTGCTTCCTTCCCACAAATGTCTGTAACGACCAGGGCTGGGCCAGGCCAAAGCCAGGAGCTGGGAACGCAATCCAGGTCTCCTACGTGGGTGGCAGAGAACCAACCACTTGAGCCGTCGTCTGCACCAGGAGCCAGAGCCGGGTACAGAACCCAGGTCCTCTGAGGCAGGCCCTGAACCAGTGGCCCAAACCCCTGCCCCCAGGCCGCTCTTCATTCCTGTCGGCCAAAAGCCAGGGATGGACATGGACTGCAGCCGTGAAGGGGCTGACGCCGGCGGCTGTGTGTCAGTCTCCGTGCTTCACGGCCGTGAGCGCACACGTGAGTCACACACACGCCAGACTCCCACGGTGACCGTCAGGAGCGCGCGGGGGGGTTCTTTTAAAAGGCAGCCCTTCAACAGACCAGACTTCTCATTTGCGAACATCGCTCTGCTTGGGCCTGGGTCAGGAAAGCCTGAGGGGAGAAATTCAAGCGGCCCACACCTGTAGAGCCAGCACACTGCCAAGAACAGCCCACGCCGGCCATGGGGACGTCAGAATCCACTTTCCCAAAGCCAGCGGGGTGAGACTGGGCGCCAGACAGACTCACAACAGAGGACCAAGTGGTGACAGAGTAACAGCCCCCCAAAGATGCCTACGCCCCCACCCCGGGACCTCTGGCCGGGCTGCTCCTTCAAGCCACCAGGAGAACTGTGCGCAAGGATCTCGGGACGCAGACCCTTCTGCACGGACCCAGCAGGCCCAGGGTAATCCCAGGGGCCAGAGTCGGGGAGGATGAGATGGGGCAGGCGTCCGGGTGACTCCACTGGCCACTGCTGGCTCCGGCTATGCAGGAAGGGGCCCCGAACCAGGGAGTGCAGTGGCCTCGGAGGCTGGGAAGGGCTCTGCACAGCTCGCGGGGCCCACACCCTGACCTGACCCACCTCAGACTTCCGGCCTCCAGACCCCTAAGGTAACCGATTTATGTGCAGCAGGTGTAACCTGCCACGGTGGAGGTAAGAAAGGATGCAGGGCCCCCAGGACAAGCTGCTGTCCAACCCCTGTCTAGAACAAGGCGAGGATGTGCAAGAACGCACCTGGTCTCGACAGAGTAGAAGGGAGAACCCCAACTGGAAAACGTGCAAGCCCTTAACTGCGTGTTCCCAGCTGCGCGCATCGGGGGTGCATGGAGTACAAGGTCCTGAGGCAGAGGCACGGCGCTGCCGTCATCTTCCAGGGCCGGCACGGCCGCAATTCCAAAGGGCGAACCTTTCTCAAATTCACTAACCCACCCCCCACCCCTGGTGTGGGACCGTGCTAAGCCCCAACCACCCACATTCCCCACGAATACAACTCCATCAGTGGACGCTGTCAACGGCCCCGTTTCTCAGATGAGGAAGCTGAGGCTCAGGGACGTGACTGTGACGATGCCCCAGGACCCACCTCCTGGTCCAGGGCCCTGGTCTGCGCCTGCAGCTCGTCCACCTCGGCCTGCACCCGGACCCGGCACTTCAGCAGGCGGTCCATCTGCTCCAGCCGCTCGTTGTCCTGCAGCCGCTTGACCTGGCTCTGGGCCACGCCGATCTGCATCTGGAGCCTGGCCCGCACCTCCTCCAGGTGCCGGATCTCCTCGCTGCCCAGGCCGGGGGGGGGGGGGGGGGGGGGGACAGAACTCAGTGGTGCTGCCCCTGCCCTAACCCCAGCCCCTTTAACCCTCTCCTCCCCGGGGCTTGGCTCACAGCTGCTTGTTGATGCGCTGGTGGACTTCCTTGCTGTAGGCCCGCCTCTCCCCCTCCATCACCTTGCACTGTCTCTGCAGGCGGCTCAGCTCCCAGTCCACTGAGGGTGGGGTCGACAGGGGACTCAACAGAGGTCTGTGCCACCAGCCCCTTCTGCCCAGGATCTGGGAATTCTGGTCCCTCAAACTGCAACTGAACTAAAGACCGGGCCTCACCCCCCCCCTACTGGGACTCCGTGTCCCTCAGACTGCCTGGTCACTTCACACTCCCTGAACCCCAGGACCAGCTGGGGTTGGGACACTTACTCATTTCCCCCACTAGAGGGCGCTCGAGAAAGGCGTCTCAGTGCTTTGGGGCTGAGACACAGGACCTGGAATCTAGGGGTGCTCCGGGCCTCAGCTCCTCCGGCCTCCTCGTTCTGTCAGCTCCTCCCCTGGGCTCAGACTCCATCCTCTCCCACCTGGACCAGCACCCCCAGGATCCTCTCGGAGCGGACCCCACCCATCTGACGCTCACGGGCCTCCCAAAACACCTGCAGGACCCTCAAGGCCAGAGTCCCATGTGACCTGACCCCTCCCATCTGTCCGGTCCCGTCCCACGGATATGTGGTGGCGTCGGGAGACATGTAGGGGAGAGGGAGGCAGAGTCTACTGATTCCTACGAGATAGAGACCAGGGATGTGCTGCACACCCTGCCAGGCACATAACACCCCCCACAACCACCCCGCCCCAAGGCTGAGAAACACAGCCCTAGCCACGTGCCGTTCCCCCTGGGGGAAATACCCCTCCTGCTCTCTCCTCTTGGCAGTGCCTGGGACTACCTCGCAGCTCCACTCCAGCCGCTGCAGCCGGCAGTCCTGCCAGCCCACCCCACTCCACTCCCTGCCTGCCCGGCCTCCCGGTCCCGCAGTCGGCGCTCCCCGCCGCCGCCGCTAGAGGGCGCCCCTGCACCGCCCCGGGCCCGCCACTCCAGGCGCGGAGGCGTGAATGACAGGCAGGAATTACCCATCCCCTCCGGCAAGGCCTCGCTGCCGTCCTCGGAGCGGTTGCTCCCCGCAGAGTGTCCCAGCGGCATCGTGGCCTAAGAGGACCGGGCTCCTGTAGGGGCAGACACGGGCCCCCTCAGGCCACAGGCCACCGAGCGGGCCCGGGTCTCACTTCTTCCAAGGGGAGGGGGCAGGGGGCATCGCTCGGGCGGGCCCGCCTCCCGCCTGCTCCGTGTCGCGTCCCGGCGCCGCGAGGACGGGTCCTCTGGACTTTCGGAGTCCGTGAGCCCCGGCTGGTTGCTTAGAGAGGAGGGGGCGCCCCTGGGGGGTGGGGTATGGGGGGACGCCGGGGCGCTACCTGCCGGAAAGCGGGACCTGTCCCTGACGCGGATGCTCACTGTTGTGGTCCGGTTACTGGGGAGACCAGAGGCCAATGAGGCCCGGGGACAGCGGCCGGGGAGGGGCCGAGGCTGGGGAGGGGTCGGAGGCGGCTGCGGAGCGGAAGACCCCGGGGGGCTCAGGGGGATCCAGGCGGACGGGGGCACGGTGGGCGGGCGGCGGGAGTCCGCGCTGGGCTGGGAGGGGAGGAGGTGCAGGGTCTTCGCGGGGCGGGGCTCGGCGGCCGGCGAGGGGTCAGTAAGGGGCCGGGCAGGGCGGTGGCGACCGGAGACCGGGGCTGGGAGGGCCCTGGGCCTGTGAGCGGCGGCAGACAGGGCCTGGAAGGACACATCTGGGAGGCTTTCGGGTGAGGCCGAAGTCCTTGAGGCCGTCTTCAGATGCTGAATACCGCGTTAGGCTGAGGGGTCACTAGCCGGGAGTTGTGAAATGGGGGCGCCCTCGCCGCCGTCGCCGGGCCTCACAGCGACTCACTGCGCCTGCGCGCCCAACGGCCTCCCGTAAAGCCGCCAAAAAGTCTGGGCGGCTTCCCGAGTCTGCGCACTCGGAGGCGGAAGTGGGCGGAGGCCTCGGGGGCGCCCGCCACGCCCCCGCCTTCCGGCCACGCCCCCTGCGCGGCCCGCAGCTGCCCACGTGGGCCTCCCCGGGGCGGGCAGGCGAGGAGTGGGCGCCTCTCCCTGCAGGCTGGGTGTGCCCGCCGCCTGCGGTTTCCTGTGGGAGGAAGCGGCCCGCGGGTGCTCAGCTCAGCTCGGAGGCTCGGGAGGGGGAGGCCCCGCCACCGCCCTCGCGTCCCCCCCATTCTGGTCCTCGGAACCTCAGAGCGGGGGACCCCCCCCTCGAACATCCCCAGAGCACCCAATTCAGGAACTGGATTCGGAGTTCTAAGTCGCCGCTGCTGCACCTCCGCGGATCAAGTCTCCTCTTCCCACCCCCTCCCCAGCCTCCTCCAGGACTGGGGCGGGGTCCCCCTTAGCCTGTCCGTCTCAGGGACTAATATTTGGGACCAGCGTCAGCCTGGAGACCCAAGAATTTGCCCCTTCCCCAGTTCCGGAACACCCTGAACGACGCCCCTCCCATCCACTGGGCTCCAGTGCCTGCTGTAGCACCTACTGTGCGCCAAGCACCGCCCTGTAGCAGAGTTCCTGGGAAAGAGCAGTTCTCAGTGATTCGCCCCAGCAGCCTGGAGCGCACCGGTATCCGGCTCCAGGGCCCCCACGGACCCACGCGGTGGCCGAGCTGTCACCCCCTCAGCGAGCCTGGGTCCCCAACAGCAGCATCCAATCCTCCTCCCTGGCAGGTACCCAGGATCTGACTACCCCCACACACACCCTGGGCTCTCGGTGGACCCCAGACACCATCGTCGTGACCCCTCACCCTAAATCCGTACCCCAGGAATAAATTAACATGAGGTCCCCGGCACTACAGCCCCGTTGAAATCCTCCAGCGGCTTCCCGGTACACGGAACTCCAATGCAGACTCCTCTCCAAGCCCCCTCTGACTGCGCTGACCACAGCTCCCTTGACTCCCAGGGCTCCGGCCACACTGGCCCCTCTGTCTGCTCTCCCTCCAGACAACAGGGGTTTGTTCTCAAAACCCTCTGCACTTCCTCTGCTCCCCAGCACTCAACGGACGGCGCCCGTCTTGCGCTCTCGGCTGAAACATCACCTCCTCCAAGAGGCCTTCCCAGATTCTCTGGTTACAGAAAAAGTAGCCATTGGGGCCAGCACTGTGGCATAGCGGGTAAGGTCGCCAGCGTCCCATATGGGCGCCGGTTCCAGTCCTGGCTGCTCCATTTCCGATCCAGCTCTGTGCTATGGCCTGGGAAAGCAGTAGAAGATGGCCCAAGTCCTTGTACCCCTGCACCTGTGTAGGGGGTCCCAGAAGAAGCTCCTGGCTCCTGACTTCAGATCAGTGCAGCGCCGGCTGTTGTGACCATCCGGGGAGTGAACCAGTGGATGGAAGACCCAGCCCCCAACCGCCGCCTCTCCTCTCTGTGTAACTTTTTCAAATAAAATAAATAAATGTTAAAAAAAAAAAAAAGCCGTTCCCACGTCTCCTAACCCCCATGGTTCTGTGTCCTTCAAAGCGCTTAGCCACCTTCTGGAATGGACCTGCAGTGATGGGGTCCCTCTACGCCACCTGTTTCTGCTTGAAGATGAGCCCCGCGCTGTTAGCATCAACACCTGGTTCGCAGTAGATGCTCACTAAATGTTCGATGGAGGGAGGGAGGGACTCAGAGTTAGCAGCACGATCCTTATGAGAATCGGTGTACTGTCAGCGTCACTGTGCCCGCCACACAGCCTAGGAGCCAGGCTCTGCAAGGGGAGAGAACTGGGCCAAAGTCTCCCAGCCAGGAAACCAGGGTTCCTAGCGCCCGCCTCCCGCCCTGGTTCCCATCCCATGACCCCGACTGCGGAGCCAACTCCATTCGCCCCAAGCCCAGTCCAGGCCACAGGAATCTGCCCTCCTCCTCTAGGCTCCGACCCCAGAAAGCAGCCGGCCGCAAGCTCCACCAGAGACAGGAGACACCGCCCCCGCCACCCCCCCCAACCAGGTTCCCCCCCCCCCCGGGAAGGACTTCTCCCTTCACCCCTGGGAGGGAGGCCCGAGAAAGATGCTTGTGTGGCGGCAGGCGGGGGCCCCGAGAATGAGGAACCCGAGCACCCGGGCCCTCCCACTGGCTGCAGACCTCAGCTGGGCGCGGTGCGGGTGGGTATAAAAGGGTCGGTGTATATATTGAGAAGAGCACAGAAAGACAGGGCAGGACCAAGGAGGCTGAGGCAGTGAGGACCAGAGAGAGAACGGGTCCCGGGATCGGGCTCAGAGAGGATTGAGAGAGAGAGAGAGAGAGAGAGAAGGAGGGAGGGAGCGAGGCGGCGGCGAGGGAGGCGGGGGCCCAGAGAGGGTGGAAGGAGGGAGAAGGGCGGGGCCCGAGGCCCGAGCGAGGGACGAGACTCCGACCCTGACTTTTGAGCGCGGCTCTCGGTAAGTTTCCAGTCCGTTATCCGGGCTGGCATTTCTTAATTTACTTGGGAGTGCCGCGGGGCGGGAAGGACACCCCCAGGCTGGAAGCACCCCCCGCCCCAGCTCTCCGCCCCCGTGGAAACTCTTGTAACTTAAGAAGTGACTGTTTAGCACTTGGGGTAGGGACACAGGCAGGGTGGGGCCCGATAAGGATTTGGGGGTCCCATCAGAGTCCACCCCCCCGGCAGTATTCCCCAGGGGTGTTCACTCTCTGGGCAGGGCCCTTGAAACCAGCCACCCTTCAGGGGAACACCCCAAGTCTGGGGAGCCTCCAGGCCCCCCCGTTTTGGGAGGCTGAAGGGTTGTGGGAGGCAGGCTGCTCCCAGCTGCCCCAACACAGATCTTGTCCATTTTCCCAGGGCAATGTCCAGCAGGCTCCCGCCTGGCAGCAGGGTGGGGCGGGGACCTCGTGGACATGGCCATGGGCTGGGGTTCCCCTGGTGCTGGCAGGCAGGGGCAGGGGTAGGGGATGAGTCACAGATGACTCACGGGTCCCCCTCTTGCCTTCCCCCTCCCTGGGGAGGGGTGGGGTGAGGCAAGATGCTGGCTATGAGGGCAGCTCCCAGGCCCCCATCAATCTGGGGAGTGTCCGTCTGAATTCTCAGGGGCAGGGCTCTACCCAGAACCGGACAGGGACCACACTGCTGGTCCTGCACATGCGTGCCAGACCCCAGAGTCTCCCAGGAGGCCCGTCTGTGGCCCTCTCCAGGCCCCGGCCCCGCCCTTCATCAGGAACCAGACACCTGGCACCTGCGCCCACCTCCTGCCCCTCAGCCCCCTGACTGCCCCTCCCCAGGCTTCCAGCGCAGCCATGTCGCTCCTCCTGCTGGTGGTATCCGCCCTGCACATCCTCATCCTCATCTTACTGTTCGTGGCCACGCTGGACAAGGTAAGGCTTCTCGGACTCCGGCCACGCCCCTCCCCGGCCCCGCCCCCTGGCCCGGCCGCCAGCCGTCTGGGTTCTACCTGCTGCCTCGCCCCACTGTCCGCGGTTCCGCTCCCTTCCCCCCACCCCCACCTTGCCTGGCCTCCTCGACCCCGCCCGCTCTCCTTTGCTGACCGGGGCCTGTGTCCGTGTCCGTCCCAGTCCTGGTGGACCCTCCCCGGGAAGGAGTCGCTGAACCTCTGGTACGACTGCACGTGGAAAAATGACACCAGAACATGGGCCTGCAGCGACGTCAGCGAGAACGGTGAGGGCCGAGGGGCCACCGGGAAGGGGCGAAACCCCAGGAACAGGGACTGGGAGCCCCTGAAGCTTGAGTGGGTGGGGCTGACGCAGGCCCCGGCCATCCTGGATGGCAGCCATGCTCTCGCTCCTAGGAGGGTGGGCCGAGAGCCCTCTCCTCCTGACTCAAAAAGGGTGATGGCCACGCGTTAGAGGAGTGGGCGGAGAGAAAGCTCCCTACATTCTACGGAGATGGAGCTGGCGTTCCGAGTGGGTGCACAGATTTGTCCAAGTTCAAGGATGCAGGAGTAGCACCACGTTGAGGTTCCACGGGATGCGTCTGAATTCTAGAGGGATGGAGCTGCATCCCTCGGAAGCTCTGAGATTAAAGGTTTGATGCTTTTGTCCTAAAATCAAAAAGCAAGTGAGCTGCCTCCCCACTTCCATTCAGCATCGTCCTGCAGGTAGCCAATGCAACAAGGCAAGAAAAAGAAGCACAAGGCACGAAAGAACTAGCAAAAAGTGTCTATTCCCAGGAGACCTGTTTATGCAGAAAATCCTTATATTTAAAAAAATGTGCAAAGCAGCTACTAGAACTGATAAAGGAATTCAGCAAGGTCATCTACGTGACACTCCTGAGTGTGTGGAGACAGGAGAGAGAAGGAACAAGGCGGGCAGGCGGCGCTGGGGCTGAAGCCTCGTGACTTGCGTCTCCCTCCGCTCCCCTTGCAGGCTGGCTGAAGGCGGTGCAGGTCCTCATGGTGCTCTCCCTCATCCTCTGCTGCCTCTCCTTCATCCTGTTCATGTTCCAGCTGTACACTATGCGGCGAGGAGGGCTCTTCTACGCCACCGGCCTCTGCCAGCTTTGCACCAGTGAGCGCTGCCCTGCCGGCCTGGGAACCGGGGGCTGGGGCTGGGGGCAGGGGGCGTGGCAGGGGGCTGGGCTGGGGTGAGAATGGACTTCAGGTGAAAGGAAAGGAGTCTCAGCACCTGGGGTGCCCCAGAGGACTCTCGGGGCTCAGGAGCGATCTGGGCTGTCTTGGGAAGGGGTCGGAGTAAGTTCCTGGGGGCTCAGAAATGGGTGGAGGCTAATGAGTCCCCCAGAAGCGAGGTCTGAATCACCGTAGTCACGCATTCGTGTCAGCGCACTGCTGTTTCCTGTGTATCTGCCCAGGATCAGACACTTCAGGGAGTTTTGTTTACCTTTTGGTTTTTTTGACTTCAGGTGCAAAGGGCTAAATTAACCATAGCCCTCCGTTTGGGGGACATTGTCTTCCTGAGTTCCCACAAAGCCCCTCTCTTGTTTTTATTAATTCACGAATTCATATTTGCCTTGTTAAAAAAAAAATTGAAAAGTATTCCATGGATGGATAGATGGATGGATGGTGATGGATGGGTGGATGGATGGATGGAGGATGGACAGATGGATGATGGATGGATGGGTGGATGGATGATGGATGGATGTTGCTGTCCCATTTTATGGATGAGCAAATGGGACCTAGAGAGATTAATGGCCCAAGACTACGTGGCGGGAGCGCGGTGGCACGGCGCTGGAGAACTACAACTCCCAAAAGGCAGCGGTGCTGCCCACTAACCCTTCAGCGCTTCTCTGCCCCCGTGGGTTGCTGGGAAATGTAGTCTTTCGCGCACGGCGCGCTGCCTGGTTCCTGTTTTCCCGCAGGCGTGGCGGTGTTTACTGGGGCCTTGATCTATGCCATTCACGCCGAGGAGATTTTGGCGAAGCACCCGCGAGGGGGCAGCTTCGGTTACTGCTTCGCCCTCGCCTGGGTGGCCTTCCCCCTCGCCCTGGTCAGCGGCATCGTCTACATCCACCTGCGGAAGCGGGAGTGAGCTGCGCCCGGCTTCCCCCCCGCCTGCTCCCGGCCCCTCCGTCTCGCCCGGAAGCCCCCGCGCGTCCTCCAGAAAATAAAATCGTTTGTCCACGAGCACTGCCTTTCCCTCCTTTCTTCTCCTCATCCGGGACCCCGGCTGCGCGTCTGCTCTCTCCTGAACCGGGGAGTGCCCCCACCCCGGCCGCCCCAGCCTCGGAATGCGCGCCTCCTAGCCGCAGCCCACGCCTCGCTGGGGCGCCCAGGAGCTGGGTCCTCTCCTCTCGGGACGCAGAAGCCCCTGGGAGGCACCTGGGTATTGACCTCCAGACACTCTGGAGTGCCCCAAACTCGCATTCCTGGACGCAGAGGCATGGGGTATGCCTCCTTTTTCTTCGAGAGGCAGTGAGTTTCTATCCCCTGGTTCATTCCGCACTTTTCCCAGATGCCCTCAAGGCCCAAGGCTGAGCACAGAAGAGCCTCCCAAGTGGTTAGCAGAAACCTGACTACCTGAGCCGTCACCTGCCGCCTCCCAGGGTCCGCATTAGCAGGAAGCTGGAGCCAGGAGCCTGAGCGGGACTGGAACCCACTCTGATGTGGGACCTGGACATCCTGACTGCTAGGCCAAATGCCACCCGGTGGCCTCTTTAGTTTCCTGCTGACCCCAATGGGAAGAGCTTTCTTCTTCCCTCTTGGAAACTCACCTCCCTTCTTTTAGGTCCCAACCTCTGCTTCCCCACCCCCATGCCTCCCAAAAGGCTGCCTCTGGGCACCTTAGTAAAAATTAGGTGACAGCTCCACACTGGGACCTGGCAGGGGCTGGACGGTGAGTCTTTGTGCAATGGACAATCTGCACACCTGCCCTGGCCGCCCTGCCTCCCATTCGTGAGTCCCAGGCTGGGAACCCTGGCCCGTCCCCAGCCTTCAGGTTCTCCTGAGGGCTCTCCTGTGGCAGTCTGTCTCCCCAGGCACGCACGAACCCCGTCTCCCTAGAATAACAGTTTTCTCTGTCTGCCCCATCCATATGCATTAGTAACCGCCCCCACGTCCCAGAGTCCCTCAGGTCTGCGATCCTGACGCCTGCCTGCCTTCCCAATTCCTGCAGCCACCGTACTCATCCGGATTTATTAAACATGATTTATTCCCTTAGGACTGAGAAGGGACAGGGAGAAATTGATAGACCAATAAATACTGTTGCACAGGGCGCTTGTGGTGGGGAGACGCAGACCGAGGTAGTTTCTGTGGAAACGAAGAGGGGCTGGGGCAGGGAAGGCACCTGAGGCTGTTGGGACTGGAGTGTCCCAGATGAAGTGGGGGTCTCTGGTTCCCTGCAGACCCGCCGTTCTGCCCATCCCAAAGTTCCTAGCCCCTTCTGCTCGGTCAGAGGGCCCACCCTACACAAGCAGCAGCAGTCATTAGAGATCGGGTTTCCCCAAGCGACCCCGTCGCTGGCTTCCCCGCTGCGACAGCCGGCTCCCCAGGGTCGGTGGCGCCCAGCAGCTGTCGCCGGCAGCCGGCCGGGGCCCCACCTGCGTGCACGGCACGGGCACGCCGCCCGGAGCAGGCTAAAAAGGCAGTGATCTAGTGATATGTAGCCTCGGGAGGGCTGAACGGCTGTGACAGGCAGCCACCCTCGCCTCCTCCGAGCCGCGCCTGGGTATTTATGGCGGGGTTGCGGCCCGAGTGGAAAGGGAAGCCGAGCCAAGGAGCTTTGATTGGCTGTACATCACAAGGGGGCGGCGCCTACCAGCTGCTGACTGCCTTGATTGGTTGCTTCGTTTAAGCATACAGCAGAGCAAAAAAAAAAAAGAAAAAAGAAAAATCGCCTGTGAGTAATTGGAAGTCAGAGAACGACAACCGTGTGGTAGCCATGATTGACGGCTCGTCGGGGAGGGAGGGGGCAGGGTTTAGTTCCTACCCAGGTGGCCGGATGCGGCTGGGCAGGGGGTGCTACTCCTGGGCGCGGCCTGGGGGAGACTCGAAGTCCCTGCGGCCAACGGCTCCAGCTTGGGGAAGCCCGGGGGAGGATACAGCCCGACGCTCGGGGTCAGGGCTTGCAGGTGGGCCAAAGCCCGGGTTCCGTTGAAGGCCACGTCACAGCCTGACTGGGCCAGCAGCCAATTCTCCACCTCCAACTGCAGCCACCGGGAGGTCTCTGCGGGTGGGAGAGCAGGCTGTGAGGCCAGGCTGGAGGCGTTGCGGGGCGCTGGCCAGCGGAACCCTCGAGGCTTGGCGGGGGAAGGGCAGTGGGACAAGGCATGGGAACTCATCTGGGGACGGTGTGGGGGCTCCTGTTGGGAAGGGACGGCCTGGAGCTCCTATAGACAGGGGCAAGGGTCTCTTGTGGGGAGAGCGTGGGCTCACGTAGAGGGAGGACTGCGGGGAGAGGGGACACGCCATCCAAGACCCCATGGAGGCGGAGGCCACACCAGGGACCCAGACGGGAAGCTGGGTTCGGGGGTCGGGCCCCCCGGGCGCCGCGTCCTACCTTCGGGCGGGCCTTGCGCACCCCCCGGCCGCCGGGTCAGGAAGCTGTGCGCCAGCAGCGCCTCCTTGGTGTGCTCATCCTGCGCGCGCAGGGCCAGCGCGCTGAGCAGCTCCGAGTTGTTGGACGTGCTGCGGTAGTAGAGCATGTGCGCCAGCTCCAGGGCCTGCGCGCTGCGCCGCTGCCCAAACATCTGCGGCGGGTGGCGACCACCGGCTCAGCGTGTGCCACCGCTTCCCACAGGCCTCGTGGCGACCCCACCCAGGTCCCTCCTCCCCGGGAAATTGGGGCTGGGGCTGTCATTTTCAGGGGCGGAAGGCTGTTTGTGTTTGTCTGAACTCCTCCACAAGGGCGCACAGAGGAAGGGACTGGGGATGCTGTGGCGTGAACAGAAGTGGAGGGGCCAGGCGGGGTCCTGGCTGCTTCCTCCCCCACCCGAGGACCCCTCCTTCCTGGGACCCCTTTCTCCATCCTTGCTGTCCCCAGGGAGGGGAAGTGGGAGCCCACCCGTGCCTGGGTTCAGGCTGAAAATGCCTATGGGGATTCTTCCATTCACCTGCTGCCAGCACACCTGCTGCTGTAGCCATAGCCCTCCTGACTGGGAGCCCCCAGCGAGGACTGAAGCCCCAGGGCAGCACCACCGGCTGTAAAAGGAGGGTGGTGCCAGGGAGGGCTCAGGCCGTCCCAAGCACTTAACATTCGCTGCTGCGGAGACAGCCCCAGCCCATGCTGGCGGCTGCCTAAGCCCACACGGCCCAGGGGGTCTCTGGGGGCCTGTTCTCAACAGCTGGCCCATGTCCAGGCATGGGCAGAAGTCGCCACACCTGCCGTGAGGGACAGGTGCAGGCACGGCACAGTGTGGAAAGCACAGGAGGTTTCCCGTCTGCCCTCCGAGCCTCTGGAGTGGAACTCCGCGGACTGTGTCTTCTGTGGGGCCCCGAGGAGCTGGGCACCTCCCTGGACGGGGCTGCCACCTGCTACCTGGACGTCCCTTCAGCACTGACTGCAGTCCACTTGCTCCTGCCCCCCAGGCTCAGCTCCTGGGGCAGCCTCACCGTCCTCTCACAGCAGCCCTCCTGGCTCCACCCCTCCTCACAGCCCCTCCTCTCCTGCCTGATGCATCACCTCCCTGGCCTCAGCTTCCCCCCTCCTGTGTGTCCCAGCACAGCTCAGAGCAGCCCCAGCCCCACCCACGGCTTCCTAGTGCCCTCTGGAAACCCGGGTTCACCCCGATCCCCCTCGGCCCTGGAACAAGCCGAGTCACGCCTGGTCAGTTCTCAGAACACACGCACAGCCTGGTGCTCGAGGCTGCCCACGGTGAGCAGCCCCACGCTCATGCGTGTCCGTGGCCTCTCCCCACTGCACGGCACAACGGGTGGCCGGCATGTCTCTGGCCAGCGCCCCACGGGCCTGCTGGTGCTGGGCTGGGGCACCTGGGGCAGGTCCCACAGGAGCGGGCAGCCTCTGAGCCGAGGCTGAGGCTGAGCAGGGCTTGGGAGCCCAGTGGGAGGGGAGGCCACGTCTGCGGGGAGAGCAGGTGCAGGAACCGGGCGGGAGCTGGGGCAGCTGCAGCTCAGATGCGTTCCATGGGGCTGGGGCAGCAGAGTCCCCGTGCCAGGCTCTGCGTCCTGTCAGGGACAGGCTGCAGGGGACCCAGCCGGGGAGGCTGGAAGACTTGAACTAGGAAGGTAGGCTGGGGCAGGTAAGAGGCTGGCTGGGCGTGGGGTGCCGGGTCAGGGAGGGTGGCCTTGCCTCCTGCAGCGGGTCCGATCTGAGACAGGAGGGCTGCAGATGGACCTGGGCTCAGCGGGCACACAGTGCCGTGTGGAGAGGGCTGGGGCACGGAGACTCGGGAGCGACTGAGACACAGGAACACACGTGCATGGGAAGGGGGACCCTGGCGGGGGGCCTCAGTCCAGGGCAGGGAATCACCTGGACCTTTGGGACCACAGAGGGCGTGGGACAGCTGGTCTGCTCCTCCCCTCCACCCTCCATGGCCCCTCCCCACTTCCTTGGCCCAGGGGAGAGAGCCCAGGCCCTTTTCTGGGCATTCTTTCCCTCCCCACCCTGTAGCCCAGAAGCCAGCCCCATCACACGCCCCCAGCCGTGCTGCCCCAAGGACCACCTCCACCAGGCTCCACCCTCCTGAGCCCAGCCTACCCAGCCTGGCTCTTATCTGCGGGATTTACGACCAGTCTTCCTGAGAGCCTGGCAGGACGGCTGGGAACAGCTTGAAAACCAATGAGCCAGAGGGGACAACAGGGCGTGACTGACGCCTCGGGCTGCTCACCAAGCCTGGGAAGAAGCAGCTGCCAGCTCACCCCCACCCCCACCCCCAGCCACGCGTCTGTGGATGGTGAACAACCTGCACCCCTGTACCAGGTGGCCGGGCTCTCACATGGAGCGGAAGCGGGGAGCTCGCGGAAAATACAATGGCCTGGGCCCCAGTCCCAGAGCTCCAATTCCGTCCATCTGGGCCGGAGCCCAGGAGGCTGCACTGACAGACCCGCCACCGTCCCCAGTGATAATGGCACCCGGCCAGGATGGGGCCTCGGGACCAGCAGCCGCATCGGTAATGATAACGATCATGGTGCACTGCACGCCAGGCTCTGCACTCAGCCCCGATTAATCC